GGGGGGCAGGGCCCACATTCTGGGAAACATTCTGTTTCCACATCCACTGCCGAGGACAGTAGGCCCCAGGACAGGGGCTCTCCTCACGACTGTGACACGCTGAACAACCAGGCCACCTGTGCCGCAGCCCTCCCTCTGGTTCTGTGGACCCCGGGCCCACGTCAGGCCCTGGGATTCCCAGGCCAGTTCACGTCCGTCTCCGAGTGCCCAGGGAGCCTGGTCTCGGGACCTGCTGCTGCCGCCCAGCACAGGGTCACAGGAAGACCCTAAGAGGTAGTGTCCCCGAGGCTGGGGCGAGAAGAAGGCAAAGCCAGTGGGGGAGACGGGAGAGAAGCTGGTCGTTTTGCAGGACAGGGTGTGCAGAGCGGCGTGGGAAGGGCCGCAGTGAGCGTGGGAGCCCCAGAGCCCAAACCGCAGCCCTGGCCCGGGCCCTGCTCCAGGCATCTGCTAGAGCTGGAGGGCTGCGTGCTGGTGCCTGTCAGGGTCCAGGAACGCTCTCGTCCTCCCCCCCACCCCCCAACCCCCCTGCTGCCCTGGATACCGAGGGGCTGATCCAGGTACTGATCTGGGTGGCATGGGGTCACGTTTCAGCAGCTCTAGCTGGCTCGGCTTCAACTGCCTCCCTGTGTGCTCGCTCTGGAAGGGGCACTTGCCCCACTTCCCCAGGCCGTTGGCAGGGGAGGCAGCCTGAAGTTCTGGAGGGGTCTGGGGGTCCTGAGTGGAACTGGATTCAGCCGGGGCGAGGCTGTCCCCACCCCTGAGTGGACCCATCGCAGTGAGTGTGGCTGTTTCTGGCTGCCCACCCTGTGTGCCCTCTGCCTCGACAGCCACGTGTCTGCCCTTGTGGGCCCTGGGAGCAGGGGTGGGGGCAGCCAGTGGCCTTGGACCCGTGGCCTGCAATGCCGGCACATTTCCCTTTTCTGAATCGAGGGGCCACGTGACCACATGTTTGCTCAGCCATGGATGCTTATGCACAAGGGCCACTGGCAGGAAGCAGAAGTTTCTAGAAGGTTCATAGGAAGCATTCTGATGAGCTGGGGGCACAGGCCTGAGGCTCAGGGCGGGTCACTGTGGGCAGGATGAAGCTCTCCTATCCACTCTTGCCTTCTGTGTTCCCAAACAGGCCATCCGCAGGATCAAGGAGTCCGTGCCTGGGCCGCCGAGTCCAGCCAGACTTCCTTGTTCTGTGTCCCCAGCCACTGGAGAGGAAGTACCTCTGCCTGCCCAGCTGGCATTGCCTCCAGCTTGGGGACTGGGCTGTGGGGGCCTCCCAGGGAGGAAGCAGACAGCACCTTGCCCCACACAAGCTCAGGGCAGACTGCTGGCCCGGATGCCGGCGGGCCTTTCTTGGCTTCCCGTGGTCACAAGGAGGCCCAGGGGCAGCACCATATTCTAGGAGCCTGCCAGCCTCCCAGAGTGGGTCAGCCTCAGCTGGCCTTCCCACCCAGAGAGCAAACACAGCCAGGCTCTCAGGGTCACCAGTGAGATGGGCCAGGTGGGCTTGCTGGGAGCACAGTCCAGTCTGGACGCGGGTGGCCCTCCACTGCTCTGACCATAGAAAGGAATGAAGCTCCTTCTCGAAGGCACCTTTGGACTGTGGCTGTCTGTGGGGGCATTGGAAGCTCTGCTCCACGCCCGCCTTCTCCTGGTGCCCCTGGGCAGTGCATACACATGCTTGCAGGGGGCGCGGGGGTGTGGGAGCGCCGTGGGCTCCCCCGGAACGGGCCACCCGGAGGCCGTGGCGATGCTGCAGCCGGCTGGGCTCAGGCCAGCTGGACGGACTCCGGTGGGAGGTTTGGGCTGTGTTGCTCTGGGCCTCCCCAATAAGGCCAGTGGGAGTGTTTGCCCAGGAGAGCGATGTGCCCAACAGGCCCGCTGCCCCTCGGCTGGAAAGCTGGGTGGGAGGGAGGACCGTGTGAGGTGCTCACGGGGCGACTGTGGTCAAGTCCCAGGGATGAGCGTCGGGGAGACGTTGGGGGCATCATCTTCGGGTCTGGAACCCCAGAGGGGCAGGTGCCTGAGCCCACGGTGGTCCGCCCTGCCAGGGGCCCCGTGTCCTGTGTCGGGTGGGCAGTGAGCTGGTGCCACCTGCGGGCTTATCAGCCTCGCGGGTGCCTGGCCCTGCCTCCGCCCCACGGTCTTCAGTTCTGGAAAGAAAACTAGCGTTTGGGGCCCCCGGGCCCAGAGGGACAGCCACTGAGCTTCCCCTATGGCCCCATCCCTCTCAAGCAGGGGAAGCCTTGGGACCTCGGGTCCATGCTGCTGTCCCCGTCGTCCAGGCTTCTGAATCATTCCAGTAACATTTTAAGAACCTGGAGGTGGGGGTGGGGGGCGTGTGACGGGGGTCACTGGGCAGTTTCCAAGTGGAGCGCCGTCCCCCAGCCGACCTCAGCCAAAGCAGGGTCTGGTGTCTGGCTTCTGGAATTGCACAGCTGGGGATATTTTTAGCACAGGACCCGATTTCCCACTGGTTCTGGTATCTAAAAGCAGAGGGCCACAGAAGGGCGCCCTGGAGCCCTGCGTGCCACGCCCCTCTGAGGTCCAGAGGCCCAGCCTGAAGTGCCTGGTCCAGAGCACGCCTGGGAAACCAGCCCAGGGAAGGGATGGGGTTCCCTGCGTCGTGCCAGGGCCCGGACGGGGACTTCTTTGATGCCCACACCACACGCCCCATCAGGAGCTGGAAGGCACTTTGGAACTGGAATCCCCAAGCCCCAGATGGGGCCCTGGCCTACAGATAGGGGTCTGTTGGGGCCAGAAGGCCGGCTGCTGGAACTCAGACTCGTTCTCCCCCAAACTCCCGAGTGATGGTGTCGAACCTCGAATCAGCTGTCTCTGCTGGTAGGACTGCAGGACCCCACAGCCTCAAGCGGTGGCTCCTTGGCTGTGGAGGGGCTGCAGGCAGGAGCGGCCCCAGGGCGCCCACGGTGGGGCCACTCAGCAGGTCGGGGCCGTGGGGAGGGCCGCCTCCTCCCTGACCGTGGAAGAGCACACTGTGGTTTGTGGACAGGGAGTGGACCCACGTGGAGACATCAGCCGGAGGAGGCGGACACAGTTGCCTGGCCTCCCTTCCTCCTGGTCACAGTGGCTTCTTGTTGGGACATTGGGAACTTGCTGGTCACTCTGCTGTCTACTCACCCATGAAGAGGCAGCTGTCATGGGCACCAGCCTGCCTTCACTAAGGAGACGGAGGCTCGAAGAGGCCAGGCCTCTTGTTCCGTGTCCACAGACCCACCCGCACCTGGGCGCCTGGAGGCCAGCCCCCGGGGCAGCTCCTGTGGTCAGTGGTCCATCCTGCGGGGAGTCCCGCAGCCCTGACTTCTCCCGGCCGGTGGGCCCCGCTCCAGGTCGGGGCGTTTGTGGTAATGGGTGCGTCGTATCACACCCACTGATGGGGCTCCTGGTGTGTGCGCCCCGCTCGGGATGGGTCCCCGTGCAGGCGGGGCCCCTGAGCTCCCCGCGGGGCTGCTGCAAGGCCCCCGCACTCTCTGACCACCCGCCCCCAGCTTACACACACCGCCCTCCGCACGGGACATCACAAGTCACCAGCGGTACCCCCTCTCCACCCATCTCCCACCCCCACGGCTGGTGCCCACAGCTCCCTCTCTCTCATTGTTTAAAAGTAAACTTTGTCTCTGAGGCCGGTTCTTGATTTGCAGAGTCACGTGAAGGGAGTGACTCTACCGCCCGCCCCTCCCTCCACATCTTCTGTCAGCGCCCTGCCTTTGTCCCGCCTGCGAGTCCCTCTCCGCAGGGAACCACGGACAAAAGCCCGGAGTTTGCTCAGATTTCTGCCGTTGGTTTTCACACCCCAGCACCCCATCCGGGACCCCACATGCACGGGGGCATCATCTCCTGGCTCTGGCAGTTTCTCATTCCCTTGGTCTCAGGGGCAGTCGGGGAGCACTGGCCAGAAGTTTCAAGGACCGTCCCCCTGTGGACACCTGTCTGGCGACTTCCTAGGCAGCCGGGCCTGCCTCTCCTCCGCCCGGGTTCCTCCAAGGGCCGACCACCCCCACGGCACCGTCCCCTTGCTGGCCGCCCAGCACCGCCTGCCCCGACCTCCTCTGCTGGGCACACACAGCTTTCCTGCGGAGCCTTCGGGGACCCACTGCCCTGCTCCTATCCCATAGTGGCCCACCCCTGCCACGAGACCCTCCCTTTTGGCCTCAGCCGGGGTCTCCTGGGCAGGTTACTGAGCTGTCTGCTCTTGCCCAGCTGCTTCCCTGGGGACCCTGGCCTGTGGGGAGCGGGGAGTGGGAGTGTGGACCTGGCTGCTGGTCCCGGCTAGCACACCCCTCCAGCTGTGCTCTGTCCCACGTGCCCCTCTGCTGGCCGTCCGGCTGCTCCCAGCCTCTGCTGTCGTGACTCGTTCCTAGAGTCTGCTGTGCTTCAGGAGCCGACACGCAGGGGGGTTCCGGTGTCGGGGGGGCGGCCACGCTGCCCTCCTGGGTGACACCATCTCTCCTGTCCCGCAGGCCCGAGTGCCAGGCATGGACGGGGACGCTGCTGCTGGGCACGGGCCTGCTGTACTGCGCCCGGGTCAGCGTGCCCGTGTGCGCCGTCTCCATGAGCCAGGACTTCGGCTGGAACAAGAAGGAAGCCGGCGTCGTGCTCAGCAGCTTCTTCTGGGGCTACTGCCTGACTCAGGTGGTGGGCGGCCACCTGGGGGACCGGTAACCACCCCTGCTCCCCACGCGAGGCCGGGGCTGCCCCGGGGGGAGGCGGCTCCCGCAGGATGAATGTGGGGCCAGGCCTGGCCTGGAGAGAGGCATCGGCCGGGAGGACCGAGGTCCGTGGAGGAGGCGGTCCGGGGGCAGGTGCGCGGCTCCCCTTGGGGCGCTTGTCCTGGGGGGCGGGGGAAGGGTGCTTGTTGGGACGGAGGGACAGGCTGGGCCTGTGCCCTCACCCTCCGCCCCTTCTGCGGAGGAGGACGAGGAAGCGGCGCCCGGCCCGGTGGCGGCAGCTCAGAGCCGGGCTGGAGCAGGCACCGGCTTGGGCTCCTCCGGGCAGGACCCGCCCACCCTGCCCGCCACCCGCCACTGTGCTCTCGTCCTCCTCCAGGATCGGGGGTGAGAAGGTCATCCTGCTGTCCGCCTCCGCCTGGGGCTTCATCACTGCCGCCACCCCGCTGCTCGCCCGCCTCAGCAGTGCTCACCTGGTCCTCATGACCTTCTCGCGCATCCTCACGGGCTTGCTCCAAGGTAGGGCTGTCTTGGCAGCTCCCCTCTGCGGTCCCAGCCGTGCCAGTGCCAGGCGAGCGCGCACGCGTTGTGTACGCGTGTAGGTACACGCGCGTGGACACGTGGGTGTGTGGACGTGTCCGTGCAGGTGGGTGTACGTGTGGGTACATACGTGTACTCAGGCGTAATCCCGCGCGTGTGCTTAGGTCAGAGGAAGTCTCCTGCGCCTGCTGATAAGGCCCCGGGAGCCCCCAGCGCGGCGGGCGGGCAGCTGTCCTCGTGGGCAGGGAGGCACGAGGACCGACCGCCCCCAGCAGGCAGCCGGCGCTTGGCTGCACTTCCCCGTGGCGGGCGGGTCTGTCGTGCCGCGCGAGGCCTTGGCGCCGAAGCTCTGTCTGTTTCCCAGAAATATTTCACGGTCTGGCACAATCCAATGTCAGATGCCCCCCTCCGCCAAAAGGCCCACCCCGGGGGCGTGGGTGGCAGGCAGCTTGCCACACGGTGGCCGTCAGCGCCCCTGGCCGCTGGAGCAGCGGGGACTTGCTGAGTTTCTGTGTGTTGCTGGGCAGAGGCTGCCCCTGGCCGGAGCCTCCGGGACCCGCGTCTGCACTCGGCCTCTCCCTGTTTCCTGACCGGCCCCACCGGTCCGCCTCTCGGGCAGTCCGGCTCCTGAGCCCCCGTGGGTTCACCCCGGTGCCCCATGTGTGGCCGGTCCCGTGGCTGGGGTTTCTGGGCATCCAGCCAGGGGGCCCTCGGCTCAGGCTGTTCCCCCATCTTCCTGGGAGGTGGGGGGCCGGTCTGTGCCGTCACGAGAGCTCAAGGGGCAGCGATCAGCCTGGGTGACTGGCAGTTGGTGTGGGTGGGGGTGGGGCCCCGACAGGAAGGCCGGGCCCTGCCTCAGCCCCTGGCCTCTTAGCTCTTCCGGGGAGAAAAGCGCAGCACAACAGGTGGGAGCCGCCGTCCCTGTTTTAAAAATTAGGTTTTGCAATGATCATAGATTTGCAGGAAGTTGCGAAGAGGCCCCGGGGTCCCTCGGGCCTCCCTGGGGCGGCATCTCGTGTGGCTGCGGGACGACGACACATCCGGGCACCGTGGCTCCGTGGGGCCGCTCGCTCGGGCCTCATGGGCTGTAGGTGCACTGCGTGTGTGAACGCGTGCGAGCGTGTGTGTGCGAGCGAGACAGCGTGTGAGTGTGCGTGCGTGCATGAGCGTGTCATGTGTGAGCATGCGTGTGCGAGTGTGCGTGAGCATTGTGAGCGTGTGCGTGCGAGCACGAGCGTGAGTGCGAATGTGCACGTGCGAGCAGGGCGTGCCAGTGTGAGCGTGTGTGCGAGTGTGAGTGGGCCTGTGCGAGCAAGCGTGCGCGTGTGTGTGTGAGTGTGCGCGCGTGAGCATGCATGAATCAGCGTGTGGCGTGCGTGTGTGGCGTGCGTGTGTGAGTGTGAGTGTGCACCAGGACTCGAGCTGGTGTGGCAGGAGTGCCAGCTCAGACTCTGTCGTTCCCACAGCCCGTTCTGTGCCAGGACCCTGAGCACACCTGTCCCCCAGCTGAGAGTCCAGCTGACAGGTCCTCAGAGCCCAGTCCTGCTGGTCCCCGGGGGAGCGTCCCAGAGCAGCTCTCGGTCCTGGCTGGCCCCGCCCTGGCCCCAGGTGACAGCGTGGGGACGCAGCTCTCTGCTCATTTCAGGGGTCTACTTCCCGGCGCTGACCAGCCTGCTGTCACAGAAGGTACGAGAGAGCGAACGTGCCTTCACCTACAGTGCCGTGGGGGCCGGCTCCCAATTTGGGTAAGTCCTGGCCCTGAGAGCCCAGGGGACAGAGGGTGTGCCCAGGGGGGCCTGGGCTGGGACAGGCCACGTGGGCGCCTTTGCGGCTCAGGGAGATGCGGGTCGGCTGCTTCTGTGCTGCGGGGGACCCCCCCCCCTTTGTGCATGTTCTGTCCCCAGGGCAGGTGGTGTGGTTGAGGCTCTGGCAATGGGACACGGCGTTGCCTTTCATCTGTGCTGAGGGAGCCAGAGGGGGTGCCGTCCCGATGTGGGAGGCGACCTGTGCCCCCCTGGGGGGCATGTGACACGGTCCAGACATGAAGACCCTGTCCCTGTTCTCCTGAATGGAGGCCTCGCTCGGGGAGAAGGGACATGTTGCTGTCCTGATGGGGCTTCACTACCCGGGGCTCAGGTCCCTCACTTCCCTGCTGCCAAGAAGCAGGCAAGAAATCAGAGCGTGGAGGGGTGCCTGAGGACAGGCCAGGAGCCCGGATAAAAGCCCAGAGCGCCCAGTTGGAATGGGGGCTCTGGATACGCCGTGTGGGAGGTACTCCCACAAGGAAGGGTGTGCGTTGTTTCTGAAATCCCGCTTCACCCAGGCGTCCTGGGCCCGTGTCTTAGGCTGAGAGGCACGGAACACAGTCTGCCCACTGCACAGATGAGGAAAGGGAGGCTCCGGGGGGGAAGGCGCCCCCCCTGCCCACCCCCCACCCCCCGGCCTGCAGGAGGCGAGGATCCACAGGGCTTCTGGGCTTTGTGCTTGCTTCTCCCACTTTTGTGTTTAGACATCTTGGAGGCCAACTTGGAGGCCCGGAAGCAAGAAATTAAAGCAACAGAGGGCCCCCGTGCCGTGTCACGGCCGCACGGCTGTGCCCACGTCCCCTGGGCGCCGAGGCAGCCGGAAGTCTCCCTGAACGCTCCGAATGCTTCACAAAATACGCTCAGACTGGGGCGGCTGCTTTCCTGGTGACGAGCTTATGCCGGGTGGGGGTGCTCAGAGGCATCGCCTTGCCCCAGCAAAGCCCAGGGTCACGGCCACCTGTCTTTCAGGACGCTGGTGACGGGGGCCGTGGGCTCCCTGCTCCTGGACCGGTACGGCTGGCCTAGCGTCTTCTACCTCTCCGGCGGGCTCACCCTGCTGTGGGTGTGTTATGTGCACAGGTACCTGCTGAGTGAAAAAGGTAACTGCGGCCGGGCGGGCGATGGCCGGCAAACGCAGCTGCCCAGGGAGGGCGAGGGCCTGGCGCCCGGCCCCTCTAGCGGCCGCTAAACATCCACCCAACTCACCTGCGGAGTAGCACCCGCTCAGCGGGTCCCTGGGCTGCAGCTTGGCCCCGTCCGGAAAAGCATCCTCTAGACTAGAGCCTGAGGAAAATGCCAGTTCTCGGGCCGGCTCTGCCCGGGTTCAGGCCTGAGAGCCGTGCCCCAGGAAGAAGCGGGCACACGGAGACAGGTGCCCACCGGGCACAGGCAGCTGGCAGGGGCCATCGGTCTAAAGACGGCAGGAAGCGGGGCTTGGGGGATCTGAGGACGGGGGAAGGACCGAGGAAGTCTGTTCAGACTCCCTCAAATGCCGACAGCCCAAGGTGCTGGCAGGGAGGACGGTGTGGCCGTCCCCGGGGCAGCCAGGTGGGCCGCAGGGCTGTGGGGGCGCTGGCCCCTGGAGCTGCCCCCCCGGGAGCCGTCTGTTACGAGCAGACGCCATCCCCCAATTCTGAGGAGCTTCCACATGGAAACCGCTTGCCCCTCAGATCTCATCCTGGCCTTGGGCGTTCTGGTGCGAGGCCTGCGGGTGTCCAGGCGCACCAAAGTTCCCTGGAGACAGCTTTTCCGGAAGCCCTCTGTCTGGTGAGCCGGCGCCTCGGGGCCGCGGCTTGGGGTGGGGCGGCACGGGGCCGAGCCCAGCCAATCTCGGGTGTTCCCGAAGCCTACACGGGCCGGGGTCACCCCGGCTTCTGAGCTCCGCGGGGGCTGGCGGGGGCGCCCCTCCGTGCGGGGCTGGGGCGCATGGACCCTGAGCCCAGCCGCGCCCCCCAGGGCAGCCATCTCCGCTCAGCTGTCGTCCGCGTGCGCTCTCTTCATCCTCCTCTCCTGGCTGCCGACCTTCTTCAAGGAGACGTTCCCTAGCTCCAAGGTGGGTGGACCACCCTGGCGCCCGTGGGGTGACGGAGACACAGTGTTGTTTGCGGCCCCACTCGGGCTCGCGGCCCCGAGCTAACCTCGCCCGTGCTCAGGGCCCGCGGCCCCTCTGGTCTGGTGCAGCCACCCAGGACAGGGCCCCTCCCACCGCCGCACAGCGCCTGCTCCCGGGATGCACCCTGTGCGGCCGCCCGGCAGAGCCCTGTCCTAGGCTCAGCCGACGGTCTGTGCACGGTCATGACCGAGGACGGGCCAAGTGGGGATCGCGACACGGGCAGGGTCAGCTTGGCCCACTCCACCCCGGCCACCCTCCCCGTCTGGTGACCAGAACCTCCTGCATCTCTGCACGGTGGGCCTGTGTCCCCCCTGCTCGGCCCTGTCACGGTGGGGGGGGCCAGTGAGGGAGACTCGGCCTGAAGGGGGGCGGCCCTAGTGGACGTGGAGCTCGGCCAGGGTGGGGGGGGGTCAAGGTCAGGGGGGCCCTCCAGCCTGGGAGCCCAGCCTGTGGGCAGGGAGAGACTTACCGGGCATCAGGGCACATGGGCGACCACCGGCCTGTGCAACCTCTCGCGGGTGGCCAGGCGCATGCCCTCTGAGGCCTCCCTCTTCCCTGCAGGGCTGGGTCTTCAACGTGGTGCCCTGGCTGGTGGCCATCCCCGCCGGTCTGTTCAGCGGGTTCCTCTCTGACCATCTCATCAATCAGGGTGAGCCCTGGGGGAGGGGCCGCCGGGAGCCAACCCAGCTTTGCCACACTGTGGGGGGTGGGGGCCCCCTCCTGGGGGTGCTACGGGGATGGGAGGGGTCTTGCCACCCCCAGGACCTCGCTTCGAGAGTGGGGCCCCGACCACCTCAGCCTCAGTTTCCCGGAGGGGGTGGGGCACAGGGAGAGGACCCGATTCCTGTGGGCACCGTGGAGCTCCTCCTTGGTCTTCAGAGGGGTCAGAGGTCATAGGTCGGGGGGGCTGTGTGTGCAAGCCCGGGACCCCAGCGAACACGCCCGAGGACAAGGATCTCACAGACACGCACACCGCATGCGCATGCACACGCACACGCATTCTTAGACGTTAGTCCTTTCCTAGTGAGAGAGTGCTGCACCCTCACTGTGGAAAAAGTGGAGACTTTGTAGAAACAGGGAGACAGCACGTGTGTAAACCATCCCGGGGCTTTCCTTCTGCCTGTCTGCTTGACCTTGTCCTGGAGAGTCCTCTAGATGCACACCCAGGGCAGGGCACACGTGCTCACACGCACTTGCACACGTGCACCCAGGACACAGGACATCCAGGGCAGGGCACACATACTCACACGCATTTGCACACGTGCACACATACCCAGGATGCAGGATGCCCAGGCAGGGCACACGTGTCCACAGGAACTCACACGGGTGTGCACACGCACCCAGGATGCCCAGCACAGGGCACACATGCCCACACGCACTCACACAGCTGCTCACACACACCCAGCACACAGGATGCCCAGTGCAGACACGTGTGCCCACACACATGTGCACATGTCTCACGCACGACCCGGGACACCCCCTCCCTGAGCCCAGGGCCCAGCCCTCCCCTCCACGCTCCCTCCCTGCAGCCGTGCCGGCTGGGACCCCACGTGGGTGCCAGTGGGAACCTCTCTCCTCTGCTCAGGTTACAGAACCATCACTGTTCGGAAGTTCATGCAGGTAGGGAGGTGGAATGCTCCTCTGGACACCCCTGGTTTGTTCCCGGGACCTGCGGGTTGTGACCCCCCCGTCTCCTGACCCAGAAAGCATTCGGAGGTGCCCTGGGTCAGTGCTGGGGGCTGGTTTGGCCGACCTGAGGCCCTTCTCCCAGCTGTGCCCCCCCAGACCCCCGCACACGTCTCTGGGCCTGGGTCGCCCTCGTTCCCCTCTGGTCGGACAAGTGGGGGGTCTCGTACCCGCTGGGCAGGCCTGGGAGGGGCTTTCCCAGTGACCTTGCTCAGTGCGCCCCGGGTGGCCCCGGGAGGAGCCCTGTCGGCAGGCACCAATCCTCTCTCCCGCAGGTGATGGGCCTTGGCCTGTCCAGCGTTTTTGCCCTGTGTTTGGGGCACACCTCGAGCTTCTGCAAATCTGTGGTGTTTGCATCAGCTTCCATCGGCCTGCAGACCTTCAACCACAGGTGAGGGCCGGGCGCCCCACTCACCAGCCGGCACCCTGGCACGGTGGCTGTGCCCTGGCATGGCTGAGCGCCCCGCTGTGGGGGGCGGGCCTTGGCTGGGCTGGGTTCCGAGTGCCCGTGTGGCAGTTTCTAGACCCCGGGTGCTCAGAGGACCAGCCCCGGACTCCGTGGGGGTGGCAGCCGCCCTGTGGTCACTTGCTCGCCCACCTCCCTTTCTCTTTCCCACAGTGGCATTTCCGTCAACATCCAGGACCTGGCTCCATCCTGTGCCGGCTTTCTGTTCGGTGAGAGCCACTGGCCCCCGTTTGAATAGGAGGGGCTGTTCCCCACCCAGGCGTTGCTCACCCGAGCCCCCCCCCCCCCCCCCCCCCCCCCCCCGTCCTCTCTCCGGGCCCCCAGGGGCTGCCTCCGGGCGAGGGCCTCCTGTGACCCATCCTCCTTGTCGCTCTGTCTCGCTCACAGGTGTGGCCAACACAGCTGGGGCCTTGGCAGGTAAGAGGCGGGCTGGGTGTCTCCCGGCTGTCCCACCCCTGAGTCTTCCCGCCCCGCCAGCCCCTTAGCCCTGCAGGGTGGGGCACGGTGCCCTCCAGGGCCCCCCCGGTGTCAGACCAGCGGGGAGGGGGACAGTGAGATCCCGGAGCTGGTCCGGGGCGAACGTTCACTTTTCTGACGTAGAGCACCCCAGCCCTCACTTGACCAACAGATGTGAGTCAAATCCTCAAGGCCCGGGGTTCCAGGGGTTGAGTGGCTGGATGAGAACGCTGGGGCTCACTCCCCACGGAGGACCTGTGAGAGGCAGTATGCCGGACAGCCCGTGAGGTCTCTGGCCCTCTGGGACCCTCTGAGGCCGGCCCTCCCTTGGCCTGGGAGCTTGGACACCTGAGTTCAGCTTCTGTCCCTCAGGCCGCCCCCGGCCTCCCCTCCTGGTACCCTAGCCCCAGTCCCCGTCCCGGCCCTCCCCTCAGGACTGCCCCACCCGCCTCTGGTGCAGGTGTCGTGGGCGTGTGCTTGGGAGGCTACCTCATCGAGACCACGGGCTCCTGGACGTCCATGTTCAGCCTGGTGGCTGCCATCAGCAGCCTGGGGCTGTGCATCTTTCTGCTGTTTGGAGAGGCCCAGCGCGTGGACCTGAGCCCTACCCACGAGGACCTCTAGCCGCCTCGGCCTGACGGTTCCCCGAGGACCCAGTGCTGCCCGCCTCGGGGCGTCGGGCTGTGTTGAAGAGCCTCCCACTCCTGATCCCGGGTGTGTGAGCAGAGGGGGACGGGCCCCAGCAGAGCCCGGGCAGCCCTGGTGGGCCTCAGTCTCTCCACCTGCCAGTGAGGTGATCACGCCCTCCCCCGGGGTTCGTGGGCTGGCAGGGGTGAATGGGATTGGTATTTTGAGTAGCAGCTGCACTGTCACAGTCTGTCCCACGTAGGTCTGCGTGCCCACGTGGTCACTGGGTGGGAGGGCTGCCTGTCTGTCATCACAGGGGCAGGGGCACCACCCAGCTGGACTCTTCCCTCAGACCTGCTCTGCTTTGCTTCTTGGCCCTGGGGCCAGATCATTCTTCCTGGGGGGTGCCGTCCTGTGCACTGCGGGCTGTTTAGCAGTTGGCCCCCGCCTACTAGGTGACCCCCCCCGCCAGTGATGACAACCAGCACTGGCTTCTGGCCTCACCACATGTCCTCAGGAGACTGTGCCTTGGGCCAGAACCGCGGGTCTGATGGAGGCTGTTGGGGGTTGTGGGCTAGATGTCCTCGCCCATCTTTGGGGCCCCCCCTGGCACCCCCTGTGGGTCCCTCTTCTGCCAGGGATGCTTCTGGGGACCAGGGACCCTCCCACCTTGTCCTTCTCTCTCTCATAACGAGAAACTGGTCATCTCGTGAGTTTGTAATAGATTTTGCAAGATGTCTATGTAGAAGAACTAAGAATGTGGAGAGGTCACACCAGACTTATTTAAATGATTAAACTGGAAAGGGAAGGCTGCGATTTTATTAACCTTCCTTTATTTATTTATTTTTTCTGAAGCTTTTATTTATTCATCTTGAGAGAGAGTGAGTTGGCGAGCACGTGGGGAGGGGCAGAGAGAGAAAGAGTGCTTGAGTGAACGGGGGAAGGGCAGGGGGGGGGAGGGGAGAATCACAAGCATGTTCTGTGTTGTCAACACAGAGCCTGATGTGGGGCTTGATCCCACGAACCGTGAGAACATGACCTGAGCCGAAGTCAAGAGTTGGACGCCCAACTGACTGAGCACCCCCCAGACCCCCAATCTTCCTTTTTTAAAAAGAATAAACACATATTAAAAGCTTGTTGAGCTCACCCCGGAGGAAGCCCCGGGAGTGTTGCAGGTGACGGTCAGGGGCAGCCCCCTGAGCAGACACATGCAGGAAGGAAGGTGGAGGTGAAGGCGCAGGGGCGGCGAGGGAGGAGGTGCCCCTCCACCCGGGGAACCCGCCCGCGGTGGCATGGAGCCTCTGGCCTTGCTGTGGCCTGCCTGTCGCGGCTCCCGCGGAACCGGGCCCAGACAGCCCAGGTGCGCTCGAGGAGGAGGAGGGTAGCTCCGCGTGAGTACACGTTGCTCCCTGCCGCCCCCACTTGTGATCAGAAAGAGCCCGAAGACGGACCTCTGATTACAAAATGAGTCTGGCCTCCATAGGTCAGGCCTGTTTGTGGAGGTGGAGACGCGCTGGGGGGCGTTGTCGACACGCGGAGATGCGGAGAGGCGCTGGGGGGCGGCGTGGAAATGTTCTAGGGATGTTAATTTACCACAAAGGCCTTCACATGTGCTCCGCTGGAGGTTTTCCCCGGCGGAGGAGGAGCCCAGCCCCGGAGGGCCCCCCGCGGCCGACGTCCTGCAGCGCAGAACACGGTGATGGTCCTGGGACGCGGGCGCTGAGGTCGGCCCTCATGACTGCTGCCAGCGGGCGGCGCAGGATGTTGGCGCGTTCACACTGCCGCGTGGCCGTCCCCACCCACCGTTTCCAGAACGGGAAGCCTGTCTTCATTAAACAACACCTACCCCGGCCCCCAGGGGCCCACCATCCGCCTCCTGTCCCTAGGGGTGTGAGGGCCCCAGGCCCCTCACATAAGGGGAGTCATGCAGTATTTGTCCTTCAGGGACTGGCTTGTTCCACTCGGCGTGGTGTCCTCGAGCCCCACCCATGTTGTAGCAGGTGTCGGCTCGTCCTTCCCTTTTACGGTCGGGTAACAGTCCTGTGTGTGCACGGGCCACACCTGTTCGCCCACTCGTCTGCGGTGGACTCCTGGCTTGTTTCAACCTTTGGCTGTCGGGGTAAGGCCTTTAACACCTTCGTAACCCACAGCAAACCGTGAGGTCTCTGAGAGTGTAAGCAAGGAGGTGGCCCTTCCCGTGGTTGTTCAGTCCTTGAGGGTCTCCGACCCTGAGCCCCTGAAGGAACATGGGACACAGGAGGCGATGGTGGGTCTGCTCAGAAGGAGAACCAAGATACACGTGAACTGAGGCCCCAGGACGCCATATTGGGTCCCACTCGGTCCCCTCCGCAGAGTCAGAGGAGGGAGGCAGGCACGTGGGATTTGGGGACACAGGCCGGGTGCCCAGCAGAGGGGCCCGGCCCCCTCCGGCAACGGCCATTCCTGATCTGGGAAGCTGTCTCTGGGCTGGATGCTCCAAGGCCAGTGTTGGAGCTCGGTCAGGGCTGCAGAGTCTGGGGGAAACGGTTGTTGGCAGGGAGGGTGCTGCTGGCAGAGGGTGTTCCAGCCCGGTGGGGGCCCAGCCCTGTGTTATCTGCCGCTCGCAGGCTCAGACTCGTCCCCTGTCAACAGCCCTGGCAGGTCCCGGTGGCTGACGGGGACCAAGGTCAGGCAGCGACGGGGGCGAAAGCAGCAGAGCCGGGAGGCGTAGGGCTCGGGCCGGCCTCCTGCACCACACACCCAACCGTGCTCGCAGCTCGCTGCCCCCGCGGGTGCGGGAGTCGGTGTGTGCCCCTGCGGCCCTGCCTGGAGGCACCTCCAGAGGCCCGGGCTGCTGTCACCTGAAGCTGGCCGACAGAGGGCGCCGTCTGACAGGGCTGCGTCCGGCCGTCCAGCCGCCTCTAGGTGCCGTGGGAGGGGCCTCCGGCGGGCTGCTCAGTGCCCTGTCCGTGGGTGCCCTGCCGCTCCGCTCTGTTGGAGGGAACGGGCTGGAAGGATGTTCCAGGTGCAGGGGACCCTGCGGCGAGGGCGGGCCAGGGCAGGCGGGAGGCTGGACAGCGCGGCAGGAGCCCGACGCGGAGGGGGAGGGGGAGGGGCTGGGGCCGGGCTTGGGGCGCCGGCCGGTGACTCGACACTGGGGCGGGGCTGGGTCCTCCAGGCGGGGCTGTCCTCCACCTACCTGAGCAAGGAGGCAGCAGGGGCGCTGGGGGTTCAGCCTCCGGATGTCCCTCGGGTGGGGGCACAGGCTTCCCTGAGTCCTGTCCTCAGACCCAGACCCCACACAGGCTTCCGGGTGCCCTCCCGCCCACACGTGGTCACCACAAATGACTTTCCCCCTCGTTTCTTTTTATAAGGTCACTTTTTTTTATGTTTATTATTTTTTATTTTTAAGAGAGACAGAGCACGAGCAGGGGAGGGGCAGACAGAGAGGGAGACACAGAATCCGAAGCGGGCTCCAGGCCCTGAGCTGTCAACACAGAGCCCGATGCGGGACTCAAACCCACCAACCGTGAGATCATCACCTGAGCCGAAGTCGGTGCTCAACCAGCTGAGCCACCCAGGTGCCCCTCTCCTCGTTTCTTTAAAGCAGGATCTTTAATGGCCACTTAAAATTCCTAATGAACATGTTAACGGCCCCCCACCTCTCTGGGCCACCCTCCTTGGCCCTCCATTTCTGGCTGCGTCTTTTCGGCTGCAGGACTGCAGTGCCCTGGGAGTCCCCACTTGCCCCTTCGGGGACTTCTGGACACCCATCCCCCTGGGTGAGTCGGACCTCACAACCAGGGGGACATGCAGGGGCCACCCGCCATGCTCCGTCCTGTCTGCAGCGGGCCGTCCGGTCCCCCTCTTCGGGCGCCCGAGGAAGGAGATGAGCTACAATTGGCCTGCGCTTTGACTGGGATTTATTTTATTATGTTTAATTGAAAAGCTTTGAGGTCGTGGCATGAATATTCAGCACGGTGGCTGCTGGCACGGGAGCTGGTGTCTGATTCTAGGACGCGCCCCAGCACGGGGCCTGTCAGAGGGGGAGTGAGGTGGGGAAGCTATTAATTGAAATAGCTTCATTAATTAGTAATTAACAGCAGGGAAATGACTGTGTCACACGTCCTATTTCAGTGGATGCCCTTCATGTGTTATGGGGCCTTTAATTAAAGGACGTGCATTTTAATTAAAGGCAAGCTTGGCCCTTTGGCCTTTGGAATACAAAAGACACTCCCAACTTTGAAAGAAGCTGGCGGGGAGGCTGGTGCCGGTGGCGGGGGAGCTGTGTTCTCCGTCGCCGACCAGCCCCTTGTGGGGCAGTGGACCCTGGCTGGTCCTCCTTGGAGTCTAGCTGATGCCCTTCCTGAGCCCGAGGCGGTGGCCATGTGGGGTTACAGGCCAGCGGAGGGGAGGGGGGCTGGCCAGCACTGCCGTGCCCAAGCAGCCCCGTGTCCCCGAGTCCTGCGACCAGGGGCTGGAAGCTGGGAGAAGGTGCCTCGGGGTGGGTGCTGTCCCCGCACCTTCCACCCGCCCTGGGCCCCACCCACACCAGGCACTCATCCCTGCCTGTCCTCAGTGGGCAGCGGGGAGGCCAGGGGCTCACCAGAGCTGCGCCTGGCAGTGGGGGTAAGGAGCTCAGCCTGCTCCTCACACCCTGTGAGCCGGCGTCCAGCGGGCAGGGCCTGAGCCCGCCAGCCACCGTGCTGTTGCAGAGACCTCGGGGCCCCTCCTGCCACCCTCCTCCTACCGACAAAGATGTAGACAGCCAGCTCGAGACCCACACCCCGTTCCTGCTCCCTCTGTCTCTGTCTCCATCTCTCTGTCTCTGTCTCTGTCCCCCCAGAGGGTCCTGTGCCCCTCTCAGCCTGACCACCTACTAAAATGACTCTTGCCAAGGTCAGTGAGGCAGCTTAGTGGCGGGGACTGACCCCGGGGCTCCTGCTTCAGTCTCTGAGACTCCAGGCCCCGTGTCCCTACAGCCCTCACACCTGGTGCCTGTGGTCGGTCAGACGCACCTGTTCTCTGCCCTGCCTATATTTTCCACCTCCAGACCTTGGCCTGGCCTCTGTCACTGCCTAGATCACCCCCAGCCCATCACCCAACACACACGTACACATGCGTGCACACACGTTACGTGCAGGCACACACACGGTGCTGGTGTGGCAGGGGCCCCCCACTAGACAGAGGCTCTGAGGGCGGGGCTCATGAACAGTGCTCCTTCGTGACCCCCAGCCTGGGGCCTGGCCTCGGTGGTCCTTGGTGGAGGGCACTGTGCCCTCTGCTCTGCCTGGCAGAGA